TTTTTCTTTGTGTCTAATATCACATTTAAATGAAGGAAATAAGATTGAGTATATCTAAACAGAATATGTTGAGTATGTAGTTGTGTGTGTATATGACAATATAAAACAAGAAGGTAAATGAACAGTAGATAGAATTATAATGACTAACTGAAAAAAAGTAACTATTTAAGAGAGGAGAAAATCTATAGAAATCTCACCAACTGTTACTCCTCATGGAAGAGCATAGGTCGCTCACCAGCATTCTCCATCCAACCCTGTCTTAGGCAATCCTTTCCAGCTCCCAATTCCTATTCATCCTTTTCATATCTGCTTCTATTATCCGACGTAATGTGTTCTTAGGCCTTCCTCTTTTCCACTTCCATTCAGGATTCCCAGTTAGTACTTGTCTCGTGATGCAGTTTGACGATTTGCGTAATGTATGTCCTATCCATTTCCATCGTCTTTTCCTAATTTCTTCTTCAGATGTAAGTTGGTTTGTTCTCTCCCACAAAAGGCTGTTGCTGATGGTATCCGGTCAATGGATGTTAAGTATCTTGCGAAGACAGCTATTTATAAATACTTGTACCTTCTTGATAGTGGTTGTTGTAGTTCTCCAAGTTTCAGCTCCATACAGTAGAACTGCCTTGACGTTCCTATTGAAGATTCTCACTTTGATATTGGTTGAAGGTTCTACATCTTCCAGAGTTTCCCCATCAAGAGTGATTGGATTGCTGTTCTCTGTGTTGAATTTGAGGACCTTGGTTTTCCCTTTGTGTATGCTGAGGCCTACTGATGCAGAGACTGCTGCTACACTGGCTATCTTTGTCTGCATCTGTTCGTGTGTACGTGATAGGAGGGCTAGGTCATCTGCGAAGTCCGAATCGTTTAATTGATTTCGAGCTGTCCATTGTATTCCGTGTTTTCTTTCAGATGTCGAGGTCTTCATAATCCAGTCGACCACCAAAAGAAAGAGGAAGAAAGAGATTAAACAGCCTTGTCTGACTGCGGTCCTTACTTGGAATGGATCTGTTAGCTGTCCTCCATGCACGACTTTGCAATGTAGTCTGTCGTGTGAGTTCCGGATAATATTGACAATCTTCTCAGGAACCTAATAGTGTCGATGAAGTTTCCATAACGTTCTCCTATCCACACTGTCAAATGCCTTTTCATAATCAATGAAGTTGATGTACAGTGACGAGTTCCACTCAACTGATTGTACGAAGATGATCCATAGTGTCGCAATTTGGTCTGTGCACGACCGATCCTTACGGAATACAGCTTGTTCATCTCGAAGTTGGGCGTTTACTGCATCTTTCATCCGGTTCAGCAACACTCTGTTGAAGACGTTCCCTGGTACTGACAGTAGTGGGATTCCTCTGTAGTTTTCACATTTGCTCAGGTTTCCTTTCTTTGGAATATTGACGAGGTGCCCTTCTTTCCAGTCCATTGGCACTTGTTCCTCCTCCCAAATCTTTTTGAATAGAAGGTGAAGCATGTTTGTAGTTACTTCGATGTCTGACTTCATTGCTTCAGCTGGTATGTTATCGGGTCCTGCTGCTTTCCCGCTCTTGATTTGTCTGACGGCCATTCTGATTTCTTCCTTCGTTGGTGGGTTGACGTCTATGGGGAGATCTGTGTTTACCGCTTCGATATCCGATGAACTCATTGGAGCCGGCCTATTCAAAAGTTCCTCGAAGTATTCTACTCATCTGTTCCGCTGTTGTCGAATTGCAGTGATTGATTTGCCTTCTTTGTTATTGACAGTTCTCTCTGGTTTACTGTATTTTCCTGATAGTTTCTTCGTTGTATCGTGAAGCTGTTTCATATTTCCTTCTCTAACAGCTTTTTCCGCCATCGTTGCTAGTTCTTCCACGTATTTCTTCCTGTTAGCTCTAATGCTCCTCTTCACTTATTTGTTTGCTTCTATGTATTCAGATTGTGTCTGGAATTTCTCTGTTCGTGCTCGGCTGTTGTTAATTGCTGTCTTCTTGTTCTTCCTTTCTTTGATCTTGTCCAGTGTTTCTATAGTGATTCGTTCCTTAGGATGATGTTTCTTTAGGCCCAAAACCTCTTGACACGTTTGAGTTAATGCTTCTTTGATCCCTTTCCAGTTGCCCTCCATAGTAGTTTCTTCTTCATTCAGTAGATCCTGTAAGGCTTGGAACCTGTTGTTGAGAGCTATCTTGAATTCATTGAGTCTGTCAGTATCTCGAAAGTAAGCTGTATTGAACCTTTGTAATGCTGTTTGTCCAGTTGTCCAGTTGTTCTTCAGCTTCATTTTTAAATTGGCCACAACTAGATGGTGATCTGAAGATATGTCAGCTCCTCTCCTGCTTCTCACATCTTCCATTGTCCTTCGGAATTTTTTGTTGATGCAAATATGATCTATCTGGTTCTCTGTAATGTGGTCCTGTGAGATCCATGTAGCTTTGTGTATACGCTTGTGTGGAAATATTGTGCCTCCTATGACCAATTTTTTGAATGCACACAGAGTTGCGAATCTTTCTCCATTTTCATTTCTCTCACCCAGTTCATGCCGTCCCATGATATCTTCATATCCGTTGTTGTCTATTCCGACTTTGGCATTTAGATCTCCCATTAGAATAGTTAGGTCCTTTCTTGGGCACTTCTCTATGATTGACTGCAGCCACTCGTAGAATTGATCTTTAATGTCGTCGTTGCTATCATTGGTGGGTGCATAACATTGGATAATATTCATTGGGATACCGTCCTTCTTTGTTTTGAATGATGCTTTGATGATTCTGGATCCGTGAGATTCCCATCCTACAAGTGCATTTCGTGCTACTTTGGACAGCATTAGAGTGACTCCTTGAGTGTGTGGAGCATTTTCCTCTTCATGAGCGGAGTATAGTAGCATCTGTCCCATAGCTAGCCTTTTCTGTCCAGCTTGGGTCTAATGGGTTTCGCTGATTCCCAGTACTGCCGAGTTGTATCTCCTCATTTCCGTTGCTATTTGATTGGTGTTCCCGGTCTCTCACATTGTTCGGACGTTCCATGTACCTATAAAAATGTTTGCTCTGGTTGTTAGAAGGGGTATCGGCCTCGTGGCTTCCGAAGGAACTCGGCTTTCACCATGAAGCGTCATAATTCTTCTAAATGAAGACCTTCTAACTCTCAGGGCACAGTTAAAATGGTTTGAATGATTTTTTCTGGTAAGCGTTTTTTTAGTGAGTTAGTTTTCTACGGGATGGGGACGCTAACCCCATGCCCAACCCTCCTCCTTTACCAGGGCTTGGGACCGGCAGTAACCCTATAAGAGCTACAGGCGGAGTTTTATATAGAAATAGTGATTACGTAATTTATTATTTATTGTTCACATTGTAGTTATTATTATTACTAATTTGAACCATTGTTGTCATTATCTTGAAACACTGGCTTCGGTTACTTGAATGTTTTTTTATGGGTAGCCTCCTAGCATCTTCCACTTCATCGATTATTTACTGACGTCGTACCTGGATGAAAAAGACGGAGCGGTGGTCAATTTGAATAGGACCGATATTTATTACTCCTTTACACCTTCCCGGATGGAGTACTAGAAATGATATAATTCAGTGTCTTGAGACGCTATCATACATAAGTCAGAATAGAAACCAATGGCTAACCTACCATAGTTTTTTTACTCTGTTCATAAACGTAAGGTACTACACTAATCTTATTCACTTATTTTCATCCATTGATTTATTTTTAACTATACTCTTCTTATCCCTTCACCATCTTGAATATTTCATCGTTTCATGTGTTTGTTGCATATGTATTCTGGTGCCAAGTTTTGCCAATAATAATTTGCATTAAATAAATGAATCAATAATGGTGCAAATCTTGTTTCATTTTCAGTGTTTTTACCCCCTCATTTTTTTTGCTCAATATATTTTTTATAAAATGATCATATATTTCTATAACTATTGGTTGAAGTTAGACATCAAAATTGTTGGGTGCCGGCCAGCTCAGTGGTCTAGAATTTAAGCGTTCGGGCGCAAGACCGGTAGGTTCTGGATTCAAACCTCGTGTGGATGGATCGTCCATGCGCACTGCTCAGGAGTCCCATACTAGCTTTTCAACGACGGTCTAGCTCAGATCGACTCATGAACTTAACTTTTAAAATACTATAATTGCCACAAATCCCCAAACTGATATGTTATTTATGTTTTCATAAAATTGGTAATATCTAAACAAATAACTAAACCTCTTCATGTTATTTGGAACGAAAAAAATAAATTAGTGTAGATGTTTAAAAAGTTTTCAGTTTCATAGTTATCATTATAGGATAATCACGAGCTGGTTGGGATCAAAAATATAAACCATTGGATACCAGATTAATAGCGTGAGAGTTTAGCGCTCACCTCAAAGTGTAATTGTCTTTGGTTAGATTTCCGGTGGCAGGATCCCAAACTCACACTGCTGATTATCCCTACACTAGAATGAAACGGTTGCTTAATACTTCGTGGTTTCTCATAGTTGTTTAACTATAGATATTCCATAATGTTAACTATGAAATAAGCAAATAACTATCAAGATTTTTAAGCAAAGATGGATAGTGGTTAGTAGTGGAATCCAGGACTCACATTTCGTTCTATTTTGGACACGTCAGTCGGATGTACCTGCATCTCATAGTTGATGTTCACTCTGGGAGTAGAGTGTTGTACCGTTCACTTCAAACACCATCGTGTTATCCACTTAGCCATTGAGTCGTGATAGCCACTCGTTTGTGTATCCTGTAGGGATTGCCTCGAGCTTTATAATCAAAGATAGATACAGTAGGATCCAGGACGTACATTACCAATAAGAGACTGATCAATTGTAGTCTTAAATAACAACGGGAAGATACAAGTGAAAATAACTATCATTTTCCCGACTATTTAACCATCTGTGTCTTATTCAACCCTATGGAAAAACCATTTATTTAAGATGATATATTCAAGTTTTGATTTTTCTTTTCTTTTTCCTGTCTACAACTTGATCGTATCAGATAGCTTCTTGAAATAAACCTATCTCCATCATCATCATCCAACATCATCATCATCATCCAAATCATCATCATCATCCAAATCATCATCATCATCATCATCCAAATCATCATCATCATCCAAATCATCATCATCATCCAAATCATCATCATCATCCAAATCATCATCATCATCCAAATCATCATCATCATCCAAATCATCATCATCATCCAAATCATCATCATCATCCATAATCTTATCATTATCCCTATACCATCAAGCTTAAACAATGTATCATCTATTTGTTTTTCTTCTTTTTGATGTTCATTTACCAAGTTTATTAAATTAACACTTTCCTTTCTATTGTTAATATTAAAACTTTCTATTAGATATTTACTAGACAGTTGTTCAATTTACATCAAATACAATTCAGTTTCTATAAGAAAGAAATAGATAGATATATACTACTATTTTATAAAATTATAGTAGCAACTGTTCAGTTTGTTTATATGAAAACTGAATTCTAAAAAAAAGTGCAAAGATCATTCAATTTCATTCAATTATTAGATAGGTGCTTTGTGACAGTTAATAGAATAGTAGTAATAGTACTATCACTACTACTACTACTACTACCATAAGTACTACAACTACCATAACTACTACAGCCCCTACTAATACGAATAATAATAACAATACTTTATTATTATTATTATTATTATTATTATTATTATTATTATGACAACATAAAAGAAATATGAACAAATAGAATTATTCTAGGTACTTTATTTCTTCAGACAAAACATCAAGATAAGACAATAATAGAAAGTTAACTTAGCCGATAGAAAGAAATATTAGAAAGATCCAGTAAGAGATAAATAAGGGAAAGAGAGGTAGAGAGAGATGAAAGATGAAATGTCATATGAAACTTGTGATATGCTTAAATTCTATGATAACTAAATGTTTAAATAGAATATTTATTCACAGCTATATACTGGATTGTTATGCTTATTATTTGTCATCATCTGTAAGATGATGGAGAAGATTTATAGCTCAGGTAGATGATTTTGATGAAGTTTTGTCCTATGAGCTAGATGGTTTGGCCATGAAGCTTTCATCATTCTTCTGAACTACATCATCAGCATAAACTTCAGTTAGACTCCTACCATCATCTGTCATCATCTGCGTATATTCTCTTTAATAGTTATATATATAAACACTCATTATTCACAGTTATCTATGATCATAGTATTGATATAATTTTCAACAGGTGTTAATGTTCAATTTCAACCAATCGATTATACTGCATGATCATCCTTCATTGTCTTCGGTGGGTAACATCCTTACATCCAATATGAATTCAACTCGATTGGTCATAGCTTCTCACTAGAACTTTGGGAATCACCACTCTCTCTCTCATAATGAATGAATGTTAACAGAATTAATGAAAATCTAAGGAGAAATTTAAAGTTTTCGGTTTTTGATTGAGATTATGAATCAGTTGATGTTATACCACCATTGGAAACCTAGTAGCAATGGACGGGCGTTTCGTTCTATTTTGGAACTCCTCAGAAGTGCATATCCATGATCGCACTAGCGGGATTCGAACCCAGGACCCTCGGTCTCTAGCGCGAACACTTAATCTGAGACGGCATTCAATGGTGTTTATGTCTAACTTAAAATAATTCACGTAATTGTACAACCATCTTCAATTGTACTGAGTTAGATAACTATATCTACCCGACACGGATTAGCTCGGCTTTTTCTATTATAAAAAAGACCATCTTACAAAAATAATAAAATATTATTCAATCTGTTCAACAAATGACACATGATCTATGTATTCCATATATAATCTATTGTCGCTTTTGAATTGGATCCAAATGTAATAAACAGAAATACATTTAAAATGTAATCTATAAGTGTGAACAATGTAATCCAGGATTCTGAATAACCTTATATATTGATTCGTATATTATAATTTTGACTAGTAATTGGTATTCACTGTTATAATGTTAGTGCCTGTAGTGGTTGGTCATATGTTAAGCTCATATAGCTTATTCTAGCTTCTGGACAAACCAATTTATTCATTCTACTAAAGCTACATTTCCGAACTTGTTAATTATTCGCTTATCAATCTTGACTATCGCTATATGAACGTACGTGTGTACACTTTTTATCCTATTCATCACATGTCTGTGACTTATTTTGGTTGGACTATATATATACCAATTCATATTTGGCTAAATTAAGTTAGCTCATACGCCTTGTGCGTTATTTCGCTTCACTTTCTCCTCACCGCTTCTCTGATCATTTGTCTAGATCAATGATTGTATGAAATACATGTATTCGAAATTCATCCTCATATTTGCCTAATTTAAGTCCGTTATACACCAACGCGAGTTGAATCGACGATTATATACGAGAGGAGTTAAGATGTATAGTTCGACAAAAATTATTTGTTAGAAATCAGAAACGATGCAAATGGAGACAGATATAGGGTCACTAAAATGTCATCCGTAAAGTTACTGAATTACGATAGTTGGCATTTGTTAGACAGATATAAAATTGATTAAAATTATTAATTATGAGAGTCTTTAATTCTCTATTTTTCATATCCAGGAAAGAATTTGACTAGTGTTGACTGTTTTAAATCAACAGACCAATAAGTAATGCTTTAATATTGATCCTTGGAATCGCTTGTTTGAATTTTTTAACAAATATATAGGACTAATCAATTACAGTAATAAACATCAGTGGGAAGATTCAAACAACCAATATAAATGAATTAGACTTCACCCCATTCTGTAGGTCCCTGGCTATCTGAATACAATAGCTAAGTGGATAACGCGATGGCGTTTCAAGCGAACTGTACTAGTTTGAAGTCCCTGAGTGAACTTCAACTCTGAGATGCAGGTACATCTATGTGATGGGTCCCAAATAAGATGAAACACGCATTATGGAGTCCACTGCTAGTTATCATCCATTTCTGCTTATAATGACGGATACCGGTTTTTGAGAATCATTGAAAACATCAAAACTGAAGTACATTTATCTCTAGTTGGATAATTATCAAACAGAACTTGACATGTGTCTTAAGTTCATTACTCGATCAAGAATAAAATTCGGACCTTCCAGATGATAGGCAGAGATATTCATCAGCAGTAGACAACGTCATGATGTTTTTATAGCCTTCAGTGTAGATGGAACTTTATCAACCAAACCGTAATATGATCATCAATTTAATTAATTCAATATCAAGTCTTACAATAAGAACAATATGATTTAACGAATTCATCGAAATCTGATAGCTATTACCTTACCTTTGAGTCGATTTTATTGCTAATCTGACATTATTAATTTACAGCCTCACTTTTAATTTGATAAATTATCCTCAACTCCTGAAAAATCTCTACAAAATCACTGAAATAAATTTTAGTATTTAAAACCAGTACTCAATTGGAAAACTAACAGAAGTACTAGGTAGTCATCTGTGATGAATAATTATTTCAAACGGAACAATTCATATCGATCATTTATTTAACTAGTAATCATGTGGACAGTGGTAATTAGCTCCGACCACAATTACCGAACTTGTGGTTAGTAACCATAGTCGGTGATGTAAGGTGGTGATTGGGGGTAGTCAACAGGAAACCCTAGACCCATGTTTCGTGCTATATGTCACTTGGTTCTATAACAGGCCAGTTGAGGCTTGAATATCTCAATGGTAACGTTTTCAACTTTGAAACTGGATTACACGAGATTAAATCAGCCATACAAAAGCAACAGAAATACCAAGAAGAATTGACATAGTTAGTACATCCCGGCTTAGAACTATATGGTACATTGAAATCAGGATCTTGTAGCTTAACAGTGAATCGCTGTATCTGAATGCATTTACCAATATGTCCAGTTTCAATCAAATATAAATGTGATGTGGCATGGTAATTATTCAATCCCATGAATAATAACTATCACATTGTTGAAATAGCTGAATGTCATTATTAACAGTTTCCTATTTGAAATTTATGAATTCTTCTTAGAATTAGTCATTAGTGATTATGAAATCACTACTTCTAAGTGAAAAATTAATTTAGAACGTCATTTAGAACATCATTTAGAACAGAAGCATCATCAATGAACAAGCAGGATCAGATACAGACACAAAGGCGAGGATTGGCAAAGCAAACACACCATTCCTACAATTGAAGAACATATGCAACTCAATAAATTCCAACAAATATCAAAGTCACAATCTTCAATACGAACGTCAACACACTTAGTTCTACTGTACGGAGATGAAACTACCAGCACTACTACAACAATCATCAAGAAGGTACAAGTATTTATAAATAGTTGTCTACACAATATACTCAACATCCATTAGTCGGATACCATCAGAAACAGCCTACTGTGGGAGAGAACAAACCAGCTTCCAGGTGAAGAGGACATTAGGAAAAGACGATGGATAGGACATACATTACGAAAATCATCAAATTGCATCACGAGACAAGCCCTAACTTGGAATCCTGAATGGAAGTGGAAATGAGGAAGGCCAAATAACACATTGGAATCAGATATGAATGACAACTACAAAGAATTTTCATGACAGGGTTGGATGGAAAGCGGTGGTGGTTGGCCTATGCCCCTTCACGAGGAATAAAAAGCGTAAATAAGTAACTAAGTTATTTAGAACTTCTTATCAGTAAATTAAGTAGTCTACATATTTAAGTCAGAAATATTCTTTCTTTGTATTAAAAGAAACTAGACATTATGAATGATAAAGCAATGCATAAATCCTATACTAAACATGTATCTACAGTTTATATTATAGAGAGACGAGCACAAATATACATACACTTACAATATCAGAAATTGTCCTTATTACAAAAAAATGCGGGATAGTGTGAAACAACAACAACAAAAAAAGCAACCAACAATAATCTTACGGGTTTCTTCTTTTTGTTGTTGTTCTTGTTGTTGTTGGTGGTGGTGGTGTTGGTGTTTCTATTTATTAATATTTTCAAATGAAACAATACACTTTGTATTATATATGCATATTCATAACAATCAAAATAATAATGACAATAATATTTAAACTTATATTACCTTTAATGGTGCATTCTACCTTTTCTTTTGTAACTTGGATAATCAATTTCGATGGTGTTTCCTTAACATCTACCATTATTATTATTATTATTATTATTATTATTATTATTATTATTATTATTATTATTATTATTAGTAGTAGTAGT